TCAGTCAGTCAGTCAATCAATCTGTCGGTCAGTCAATCAGTTAGTCAGTCGGTAAGTCAATCAGTCTGTCGGTCAGTACATACATACATACATACATACATACATACATACATACATACATACATACATACATACATACATACATACATACTTTATATTCTAATTCGCTGCCCCACTCAACCGAATATAAAACATTTATCATGTAATAAGCAACCACTTATGGGGTGTGCAAACACGAGCCGTGTATAGCCCTCTTTATTATATCTTATCAATCAAAATAACATAGAATTATCAACAATGTAAGCGCAAAATAACAAAAACTAAAAATACAACTGAACAATGACACGTAGTGTATAGCATAAAGTTTACAACAATCCGAACATAAGCTAGTAATGTAAATACAAAACATGACAAGCCAGTACTTGAAAATACTAATCGAATTTAGTCATTGGGTATTTAATTTAGAGGGCGAAGAGGCGGTCGTATGACTCGAATGAATCCAAATGAAGACAACGCAATATATATATACCGGCGCCCCGCTAATGAAGCATTGTGACAAAGTGTCACATAACACCCAAAAGGAGGTAACGTAACCCACGATAAATATATTTATTTGTCATGTAGGTCTACAAACTAGAGTATAACTACAAAATTTAGATGAGAAAAGAAAACAAAAAGAAACTTAAGAAACTAAGGAACCGTTCTACAATGATAAAAAGAAAAATATAATATACAGCAAAATCGTTTACAATTTGATTGAGTTAATTAGCCACAGTGTTAAAAGATAAAATAATAATAATAATAATAATAATAATAATAAAATAGTTATCAATCAGTCAGTCAGTACTTCTTTTTGTCCGTCAATTTCGACTCAGACAGACAGACAGACAGACAGACAAACAAATAGACAGTCAGTCAGTCCTGCGGTTACGGTCCTAGTCAGTCAGTGCACAAGGGTATATATGGGTGACCTGACAAGCTGCTTAGTAGTAACCTATGATGTCTGGTCGTGTAACCCTACGGACACTGTAAATGCCAAAAACGGTTGGAATACTGTAAATACAAAATATATTTGTTAGAAATATTACGAGAGGAAATGAGGAACAGGGCGAAACACTAGGAACTAAGTAGCACATGATGTGTGTAGACTTCTCTACCAGCGTGTGAACTTTTGGGGATACTGAAAATACTAAAACGACTGAAATATCACAAACAGACTACAAATATGTAGAGAACATAAAATCATTACTGATCAGTTACCCTGAACGTACAAGGAGGGTGGATGCAGGCTCCTCTCGAGTTTGCTTTTTTAAATTCTGAAAAGAAGTTTGTCAGTTTGTCTATGTTGGAAATCTACGAAACTTTCAGTATCTGTTCATTCATTACTTGAAAACATTTTGACGCGTCAACTGTTTCTCCTTTGACAATGTAATAGAACCCGCATCTTGCCATACATGTTACGAGTTAAACTTGAACTTCATTGTATCGAGTTGTAAAATTAGTGCCTTTTTACATTTATTTGTAATTTTTAATTAATCTCCCATCACTTAATGTTATTTTTTACCTTCCCGAGCAAGTGATGAAATCAAAGATGGCGGATCCTAAACGGTGGACTTAATGACGTCATAACTAACGAAAAACATATTTTCTTGTAAATCAATCCGAACGCTATTGTATTAAACGTGTCTCACTGAAATAAAAAGCGTGGTGGGGGTAGCAATTAATTTTTTTTTCTGGCCCGCCCGTCCGATCTGAGGGTTTTGAAAGGTCTAGGATAAAATTGGTAACCTATATAGTCCTAGTCGCTTAACGCTACGGAAATCGGGATAAGCGCAGACGGTATGAAACACTACTACTTCGTCTAACAGACTTTACCTTTACCTGTACTGCACACATATAGTATAAACATTGACACTTTCCTCTTAACGTGAATATCCTTTTCTTTTTAAATTTTTCTGTCATCGAGGATCTTCATTTCTGAGTGCAACGGAAATTTCTGATATAAGCCAATTATTATTCCACCTTTCTTTTCAATTTTTCGATTCAGTAATCTCTGTTCAGAAACGACTCCGACATTCTGGCCAGCATATACAGAATGGAAAAGATTTTCATTACGAGTCAAAACGAAACAGCTGCATTTTCTCGAAAAGAAAAGTTAACGTTAGTCACATGCCAGTCCAGTCACGAAACTCTCTCGTCCCCATGCTATATCGCTAGGGGACCTGGGTAGGGGTAAGCTCACGTCGGAGAGGAGCCGGTCAGTCCAGAATAACTTGCATGCGCATGCTCAGAATAAACCAATCAGATTGTGGTGTTGACGCGCTCGCTAAGGTTTAAATTGCGAAAGACGAATTAACAAATGGTAAACGCCATAGCGTGTACTATTGAGTTATGGATG